GTATATTTTTTGTTGCAAATTTACAGACAATGCAATTGAGATGTTTACATTGGCTTGTCGGGGGAATATTTCTATCCACTGACAACAAAGTTTTCCATCTGAATTAGCATAACTGCACAAGTTTTATACTTAATAATATCTTTAAAAACAAATGACATTAGTTATACTTCCATTTCCTTCAATAAAAAGGCCGTGGTTTACAGTGAATTTATAACAGCGTTGTGCCTAAAACCCCCTTAGCTGTTATAAATTCACTGTAAACCACGGCTTCACGGGGCTTATTGCTTTTATAAAACGGTTATTCCATATACGTAGTAAGGTTTCACAGAATAAAACAGAGCAAATAAAGTGTAATAAAAGCACTAAAAGTAATAAAAGTGTATAAAAATAAAAGCAATATTCTTCTACCAAACAATGTAGTTCAGGGATGGGATTCGTTATTTATAATCAGATTCGTTACTTTTTATGGACTACATGATTACATATGCACAATGGCAGTAAATTATTCATAATTTATTGATACAGCACAATTCTTTTATTTTCTTTTCAATTTTCCTTTCTAATTAACCTACCACTTATATACATGAGACTAATGATTATGCAAGTTAGGCCGCTGTGTTTTTCGTTGTGAAAGCGAAACTACTTTGTTTGGTCTTCCAAAAGAGGACACGACTACAAATCAGTGGTATTTACAACACTGTTCCAGAACAGTTTAACCCAAATATCCAGATGTGTGCAGCGCATTTTATGGAGGACTGCTTACTGATCCTGGGAGAGTAACGTTAGACTAAAATGCCGGCAGTTCTGACTCATGTAAGTACGTTTTCATTTAAAGGATATGCCACTGATGATTCAAACGCGAGTTTTGGGCAGTAGAGTAGCACTTGTTGTTTGTCATTTCTCTGATCACAAATGCAGACAGAGTTTTATGTTTGCGCGGCACGATGCAATGCAACGCAACGCGTAAAAAGACAGTATAAGTCATTATAATCAGTAATTATGTCCCCACTGGATGCAACAAATGCCTCGATTGTAATGAGTTTTAATGTTTTTGTCTCATCGCTCCGGCCGGGACACGGCATCAACAGTATGTGAGGGGCATAACATTTCCGTCTCACGCTTGAGGTATTCGGCCAATCACAATGCACTGGATAGCTGGCCAATCACAGCACACCTCGCTTTTTCAGACCGATGAGCTTTGTAAAAATCGACGCATTTCAAAAAGGCGGGGCATAGAAGAGAAACAATAATGTACAGTATGTGGAAAATAATGTTTTTTTTTTTTACTTTAAACCGCATAAACACATTTCATTACACCAAATACACAAAATAATGTTCTTTTTAGCAGCATCATATGACCCCTTTAAATCCCCATCACACCACTGCTCACAAACAACAGTTGCACTTGACTCAAATTTCAAAGGTAAAATTCAGTCAACAAAAGCTTTTTGCCAATGCATGACAGAAATGTTTGCATTGGACTATGTTCTTATTAGGGTTTCCGGGGGTCCTTAAAACGTCGTCAGTTAAATTGCTTACATTTAAGGCCATGCAAACTCTTAAATGGTACAAAAAGGTCTAAATTATAAGAGGTCTTTGGGGACGGAAATTCAAGAATTGCTATATGGATTAATATGACGATTAAACTTCAAAAGGCTATGATTTCAGTGAATAAACTTGAGCGCTGCACGTCAGCTTTGTGTACTGCGGTTACGGGGAAACCACTATATGCGCCGTTCCGAAAGCGCCTCCTGCTGGCAGAGAACGAATGTGCTTTTTCAATAAGCCCATCTGCTATTTTTGCTACATATTTTTTAAATGTGAACCAGTGGATCGACAAAAAGCTAATGCATTATAAAAATCTAAACAATTAAGACACTAAGATATATTTATATGTTATTTAATATAATAATTAATTGATAGTAATTGTTTAAATTAGTATAATAATTTATACTTTTGACTCGTCCCTTTTCTTAAAAATGGTTTAAAGGCTGAAATGTGAAGTGCAGATCTTAAAAAGGTCTTTAAAGGTCTTAAATTTGATTTTAAAAATCCTGCAGATACCAGGTTATTTTATGGTACCATTTGGAATAACAATTTTTTTTTGTTTTTTAATTAAGCCCTTTTTAACGATCCTTTTAGGTTGTTTTGAGAATGTTCTGTAGGCTACTAATAAAAAAAGGACCTCTGTATATTTTTTGTTGCAAATTTACAGACAATTATTTGTTTGTTGCAAATTTACAGACAATTCAACTGAAATGTTTACATTGGCTTGCGGGGTAATATTTCTGTCCACTGACAACAAAGTTTTCCTTCTGAATTAGCATAACTGCACAAGTTTTATACTTAATAACATCTTTAAAAACAAATGACATTAGTTATACTTCCATTTCCTTCAATAAAAAGGCCGTGGTTTACAGTGAATTTATAACAGCGTTGTGCCTAAAACCCCCTTAGCTGTTATAAATTCACTGTAAACCACGGCTTCACGGGGCTTATTGCTTTTATAAAACGGTTATTCCATATACGTAGTAAGGTTTCACAGAATAAAACTCACCAAACTGCTGTAGCAAATTCCCAATAAAATGAATGTGCATTTAAAATTAAGATCCTTCATTTGCTTGCACTTGTACTGTGCTGGGTAGTAACTGTTGACGCGTAATCTGGATTACGTAATCGGATTCCTAAAAAAAATTACGTACTCATACTTAGATTATTTTACATTTTAAAATGCTGATTATAAAACGGATAGTTCCGGTCCTTGATTCGGATTGGTTGAGCCGCGTTCGAAGCTGTTGTAAATTACTCTACAAACATACACCTTTATTTACTTCTGTGTAAAAAAAATTCAAAGGTAAAATTCATAGTCAACAAAAGCTTTTTGCCAAATGCATGACAGAAATGTTTGCACTGGACTATGTTCTTATTAGGGTTTCCGCGGGTCCTTAAAACGTCTTCAGTTCAATTGTTTATATTTAAGGCCATGCAAACTTGTAATGGTACAAAAAGTCTAAATTATAAGAGGTCTTTGGGGACAGAAAGACAAGAATTGCTATGTGGATTAATATGACGATTAAACTTCAAAAGGCTATGATTTCACTGAATAAACTTGAGCGCTGCACGTCAGCTTTGTGTACTGCGGTTACGGGGAAACCACTATATGCGCCGTTCCGAAAGCGCCTCCTGCTGGCAGAGAACGAATGTGCTTTTTCAATAAGCCCATCTGCTATTTTTGCTACATATTTTTTAAATGTGAACCAGTGGATCGACAAAAAGCTAATGCATTATAAAAATCTAAACAATTAAGACACTAAGATATATTTATATGTTATTTAATATAATAATTAATTGATAGTAATTGTTTAAATTAGTATAATAATTTATACTTTTGACTCGTCCCTTTTCTTAAAAATGGTTTAAAGGCTGAAATGTGAAGTGCAGATCTTAAAAAGGTCTTTAAAGGTCTTAAATTTGATTTTAAAAATCCTGCAGATACCAGGTTATTTTATGGTACCATTTGGAATAACAATTTTTTTTTGTTTTTTAATTAAGCCCTTTTTAACGATCCTTTTAGGTTGTTTTGAGAATGTTCTGTAGGCTACTAATAAAAAAAGGACCTCTGTATATTTTTTGTTGCAAATTTACAGACAATGCAATTGAGATGTTTACATTGGCTTGTCGGGGGAATATTTCTGTCCACTGACAACAAAGTTTTCCATCTGAATTAGCATAACTGCACAAGTTTTATAATTAATAATATCTTTAAAAACAAATGACATTAGTTATACTTCCATTTCCTTCAATAAAAAGGCCGTGGTTTACAGTGAATTTATAACAGCGTTGTGCCTAAAACCCCCTTAGCTGTTATAAATTCACTGTAAACCACGGCTTCACGGGGCTTATTGCTTTTATAAAACGGTTATTCCATATACGTAGTAAGGTTTCACAGAATAAAACAGAGCAAATAAAGTGTAATAAAAGCACTAAAAGTAATAAAAGTGTATAAAAATAAAAGCAATATTCTTCTACCAAACAATGTAGTTCAGGGATGGGATTCGTTATTTATAATCAGATTCGTTACTTTTTATGGACTACATGATTACATATGCACAATGGCAGTAAATTATTCATAATTTATTGATACAGCACAATTCTTTTATTTTCTTTTCAATTTTCCTTTCTAATTAACCTACCACTTATATACATGAGACTAATGATTATGCAAGTTACTGAACACTATCAATGCATAGTTGTGTAATACTATGTCTTCGACATATCCAGTGACCTTCACTAATTATTAATTTTGGACGTCTGGACAAAAAAATGTCAAACCTGGAAGACTTTGGCCATGTTTCTTCATGTAATAAAGGGATTCCCAAGGCATTTTTATGATTTCATTAATTATTAGCTTTTCATGAAAAAAAGCCCTACAGTTTTGTCATAAACCCCAGTTTGGGAAACCCTGCTGTAATGTAACATTTAATGCATTTCATGATATTGTTAAAGGAGGAAATATTTTCTCGCTTTTCTTTTTTTTAAATAACCACATTCAAGTCTATGCAATAAATGCGTTAGTAATCTAAAAGTAATCACAAAGTAGTTAGACTACATTACCTAATGTGTAATCCAGATTATGTTCATTGTTATCATGTAATTTCTAATATAAAATGTGTAAGTAATCTACCCAGCACTGCTTGTACCGCAACAGGAATGAAGAGCTATGTTAATTATTATTCAAATAGTTCAGATATTACTCAAAGACATAATTTTTGTTCCATTTATATGGCCTTATTTATGAGAGTCCACCATGAAAACATGCACTACGAAGAACTATTTTGATAAAAACTCTTGGAATTTATTGTAAATGGTTCATTTTTTGGAGAACTACTCCTCAAAAAGTTCCTTAGTGTATTTGCTCTTCCGGAGTGCCTGGGGATTTCATACGGCCATTGGCATTTCTTTATAAGCATCATCTTCACTCTGATGACATTCAGGGAAAAAACAAAGGAGTTTTTTTTTTGCAACAGCAACAAAAGCAGGCCAAAGGTAAACCTTAGCAGGCCACTACGATCCAGGATGAATCAAAATGCGAGATGTTCTCAAAATAACAACCGTATTTACATCCTGGTTCGTCACTGCAGAATGCAGAAATGAAAACCGGCTGACATTAACCAGGCTGTGTGTACGTGCCCACTTGTGCGGTGCATGTTTGTGTATGTTTTTGAACTTATACATGTTACAGGTTGAACCACGATCTGGTGTAAAGGTCACTGCTTGCATAAACATGTTTGTGACATGTGCTTTTGGGGTAAATAAGTATTAAAAGCACACAAATGTGTGTTTATAACAAAGGCTTTGCACTTTCCAAAAAGCTGCCATCACAACGTGCTTTCTGACCCAACGAGGGGAATTCCACTTGCTTGTCTGCATACTTCTGCTTTCTCATGCGCCATAAACGGCAGATCCAGTTTCTAGACGTCTGTTAACTGACTGTAGTGTTTAAACAGAAAAGCCTGCTACTGTAATCAAAACTTCATCGGTCACATGAGAATGTGTCACTCAGCAAACTAAAACAGGCTGGAAAATTAATCAGCTTAGACCATTTTTTATTTTAGTTTCTTGTCTACCAATAGTTGACCACTTCTGAAAAGAATAATTCATTAAAAAAAAAAATCTCCACTTCAAATAAATGCATTTATTTGCTCAAATTAATGTGCATTTAAAATTGAGCTCCTTCAGTTGTTTGCACTTGAACTTCAAAATGAATGAAGTGCATTGGGAGTTATTATTCAATGCCATCTTTATTTCCAGTTATATGGGCCTTATTTATGAGGTCCTCTATGAAAACTCATACTGCGGACTTCATCGTTTCTCTCATCCAGTTAAACTTTTTACACTGAGTGCCAGATTCCCAAAGTCCTCTCTGTTTGACAACATAACATGTGGAGAATGAACATTTAATGCCTTGCTGAACAAAATCTAGGCCATTAAATGCGAGTAAAGGGTTGAAGCAATATCCTGCACACTTTCATCTTTCTCCATGCCATCTATCTATCCATCAGCCAAGCATTTTAAGCTGCAGAGTACATTTTGTTTTGAATATGAATTTAAGCACATTAAAAATGCGTTCCTGGATTACAATTACACTAAAATTGCATTAAAACGACACTAAAGAAGGCTGCTAGCTAATTTTTTTTCAAATTAAATAAAACTTAACTTATTTTATCCCGTTATGACTTAACATACATCACATTTACTGAAAAGAATAATTCATTAAAAAAAAAAATCTCCACTTCAAATAAATGCATTTATTTGCTCAAATTAATGTGCATTTAAAATTGAGCTCCTTCAGTTGTTTGCACTTGAACTTCAAAATGAATGAAGTGCATTGGGAGTTATTATTCAATGCCATCTTTATTTCCAGTTATATGGGCCTTATTTATGAGGTCCTCTATGAAAACTCATACTGCGGACTTCATCGTTTCTCTCATCCAGTTAAACTTTTTACACTGAGTGCCAGATTCCCAAAGTCCTCTCTGTTTGACAACATAACATGTGGAGAATTAACATTTAATGCCTTGCTGAACAAAATCTAGGCCATTAAATGCGAGTAAAGGGTTGAAGCAATATCCTGCACACTTTCATCTTTCTCCATGCCATCTATCTATCCATCAGCCTAGCATTTTAAGCTGCAGAGTACATTTTGTTTTGAATATGAATTTAAGCACATTAAAAATGCGTTCCTGGATTACAATTACACTAAAATTGCATTAAAACGACACTAAAGAAGGCTGCTAGCTAATTTTTTTTTTAATTAAATAAAACTTAACTTATTTTATCCCGTTATGACTTAACATACATCACATTTAGACATTTTTTAGAACTTTTATCTTTGCCTGCTTATAGACATTTAGGCTATGGCACCTAAACCATTGCATTGCTTTGGATTAGAATTAAGCAACAAGATACAAATATTAATACAAATAGGCCTATCTGCAACCCCTTTGAGCTTGATTATGTTCACAATACACGTGCCTTATTGCTTTTATAAAATGAATGCTTTTTTTAAATACTAAAAATACACTATTTTTCAGTTCAAAGTTCCATTCTTCCGCTAGAAAATATAGTCCCTGGCATATCTGAATGTTGCAGTGCAATAAAAATATTGCAATGGGATATTTAGGGATCGCATGCAATGGGAGCTACAGTAAAATGGTGTACATGTATTTCACTTAATAACTATTTTTAGCACTAATTAACGAAACACTTGTTTCCGAATCACTGGGCATGACAGGGAAATATGGCACCTAAAAATGCCTTTCAAAAAGTTTTAACGATCACTTGTTTCTTTAATATTTTAGAATTTAAAATTCTATTTTTTTATTATGTATAAACCATTTTAGAATAATGCATATGTAGAACGTGTTGTATAATATTACTCCGCGGCGCGCGTGTCTAAGAACTCCCTCGAGTCGGGACCTTATTGCGCGTTAATTATACTCACAAATAGCCAATATTTAGACATCAAAACACATTTGAACTGCACTCAGGTGATGCATGGGTACTTATCAATGAAGGGGAGTTTTATAAACGTACGTGTCTCCATCTTCTGTAACAGTGGTTAAGAAACGGACTTCCTCTTCGGTGTATTCACAGTCCGCCGCGCTTTCACATTCAGAAATGCTGCATTGCTCGATAAAATCCCCCAAACTGTCCACTGTTAGCGATGAAGAGACGTAAGCGGAGTCCAGTCGCTCGTCTGTAGCGCAGCTTTTGTCTTTATCCTCACAGCTGTCTGAGCTGCCGTCCTGTTCTCTGGAAATCGACTTGTACGAGTCGATTCCGGAGTCGATCCGACTTTCGTCGAACTCGAGTTTGCCTTGTTTCTCGCCGCCGCCGCTTCTCGCCATTTCGAAGCTTTGATGTGTATCGTCAGTATATAAATGTAGCGCTGTAAGAACGCAAAATCACTGTGACATTATGACACCAGAGACAGTCGCTTTTGTTTCTCATCCCACCACCGATGGCTCCGCTGTCCGCCTCAGATACTCCAGATGGCTTTTTAATGTCAGGTTGAGCTAAAGTGAAGTGTAAGTTAATGAAACTGCTGTGAAGCGCGCTGGCGGTAATGTGAAGCGCACCGGAGGCGGAGTCGATGCGGCTTTCAAGCCGGCTAAAGTGGGAATTCCCCACAGGGAGTGGCAACCCATACCATTACCGATCCAATCCAAACACAGCATGACAACCCCATGGAATCTCCTGAAAGACCTCCACTACAGACCTGTTCTCTATTTTGGACTCCCAACAACTTCCTAAAACCACCTGTGACTTGACCCCCGACGAAGTCCTTCGTTTAATCTCCAAATTGCAACACAACTTCAGTCTGGACATTTATGGGTTTCCCAAGATTGCGCATGTGCAGAGAATCAAATGTAGAGTGATTGTGGAACGTTGCATAGCCTATATTCAACTAGCCATCCACATTTCTTTATACAATGCTTCATTTCTCATTACGCATTTTTAGATAGGCTAATTGAGATTCATAAGAATAAACACTTTTAAAAAATATATTCTGCAATCCTAATTTTGGTTCGGATCTTGATGCATTGTCTGTCGTGAACTGGTTTGCCTGAGAAAAATAAAACAATTGCAACTATAGACTTTCTTATTGTTGGTGTTACTTAGTTACCACCATGCTTTGCATATTATATAGGCTACTACTAACAACTTGTTTTGAATGTCTAAACGAAGTACAAGCATTCGTTGCACACACACGCACATAAATACACAGATTTTGTATTTTATCTTCAATGCTGTCGTTGCCAACAATGATAAAAGGTGGCGCTGTAGCCCATCTTTACATTCTGTATCATGAGATCGATTGGTTCATTGATGGAGTCATTATAGCACAAATGATCTGACAGATATCGACAAAATGATATAATATAATACTGGACAAAACTTCTGCTGAAGGTTGAAGAACATCTCTTCGCATTTGAAAGGTCAAATAACTCCATAACGTTTGTCACAAGTCTCTTCATTAGGCTCATGTCATCTAAAATGAACAGGTAGTGACAATCACGTTTTGAAAATAAGATCGTACCACACATTCTTTACAGTCCATATTTGTGCTGAACAGTAAAGATAAGACACTTTGTAAGAGGCACTTTAGCTTAAACCGTGTGGCCAGTTGATTATGACGTCAGACACTTAATTATGACGTCATAAAGAGATCAAAGCATTGTTGAAGAGTGGAAGAATATTAAGCATTTAGAACAAACTACATGACTGCATGCTAATCATTTTATTGTTATTTGTAAATGGACAAATAACATGCAACCCATTATGGTGCGGTCAAAGAGAAAATGTATGTGGCTATTCTTAATAGCCTGCAAAAATACAAATAAAAAGGTTTTTGATAAAATGCTATTGTATTTTGATCAAATATGAAATAAATTATAAAATGCATGAATTATATTTTAAATTGTACAGAATTTCATTTGTTATTCCATGTAACCCATCCTATGTTGATGAAAGGGGACATACGGATGGGCTATTATTAAGAGGATAATATTCTGCTGAAAAATAGAAATTAAATGTATGTTTTTGATCAAATGTTATTTTATTTTAATAAAACAATTTTATTTTAATAAACAGAATAAAATACATTAAATATATATTATTATATATATTATTTTATATAAATATAAAATTAAATGTACAGAATTAGACGTTTTTATTCTCTTTTTGTGATGAATGGGAACATGCAAATTAGGTATTATGAATATGCTGAAAATACAAATATAATTTCTTTTTTTTTAAATAAAATTATTTAATTTTGATCAAATAAAATAAATTATAAAATGTATAGCTTATATTAATAAATTATAAAAAAAAAAAAAATTATTTTTATTTTATTCTACATATAGCCTAATCCATAAACAGGAACATGCAAAATATTGAAAAATACAAGCAAAATGTATGCTTTTGATACATTTTTATTTTAACTGGATAAAATTATTTTATTTTAATAAAATGAATAGAATAAAATAAATTATAACATTCATAAATTATATGAATATATTATAGCCTAAAACAAAATTGTGCAGAATTTTTTTTTAAATTTATTGTAGGCTATGTAACCAATTTTATGGTAATGAACAGGAACATGCAAACTGGCTATTATTGATAGGCTAATATTGTGCTGAAAATACACATTTATGTTTCTGATCAATTTTAACTGGATAAAACAATTTTATTTTGATAAAATAAATAGAAAAAAATATGATAAAACCCTATACATCATATTATATAAATAAAAAAATTTAATAAAATGTAACAATTATAAGAAATGAAACCGGATGAAGTCAAGGTCACGTATACAATCCTCAGCAGAGACGACTGGGATAGATACAAAATAAAGTGTGTGTTTAACGTCTCTCTCTCTCGGTCTCTGTCTCTGTCTCTCTCTCTCTGGTGCATGCTGGGAGTTTGTGGAGGAGCTGAGCGCGTGTTGAGAGCGTTGCTGAGAGTGATTGTGAATAATCTTCAGTGTCTTTATATATATATATTTTCTCTTTTCTTCTTTTCCCCTCGCTGTTAGTATTTATTTATTTATTCAGTGTAGGAAGAAAAGTTTTTTCGTGTGTGTGTGTGTGCGGTTTGTAGTCGCCGGTATGGCGACTGCTCACGCGCAAGGAACGCCAGCTCTGTCGCTCCGGAACGGCTGCAGGTGTGTACCTGAGCCCGGGGTGACAGTGGAGGAATTGCTCGTGATTATTGGACAGAAACTAGGTTTTGAAAACATCGTCTCGGCTTCACGAATGAACAAAGCGGTAGTCGTGTTTTTAAAATCTGAATTACTCGTTAATGAGTTGACTGTGAGTGGAATATGGGTGAAGGAAACTTTTGTTCCGGTAACCCCGCTATCTGCTCCAGCAACTAAAGTAACTGTTTCTAATGTTCCCCCGTTCATATCTAATGAAGCTATTGTGAAAGAGTTAGTGAGATTTGGTAAGATCGCAAGTCCCGTAAGAGCGGTCCCGCTCCGATGTAAAAACGACGCATTAAAGCACGTACTCTCTTTTAGACGACATGTCTTTATGTTTCTTAACTCGCCGGAGCGGACTTTGGAAGTTTCTTTTCGTGTTACTCATGGAGAGAATTCCTTCATGGTGTATGCGAGCACTGAGAGTCTGAAGTGTTTTGAATGTGGGGATTTGGGCCATAAGCGTTTTATGTGTCCGCGTAGAGAAGAACAGCGCGCTTCTACATCTCGTGGTGAGGAAAACGATGTTGAGCCTCAAGTAAATAATCTGAATCTGAGGGAGTCGAGGAGCAGGTTAGAGGAGCTACAGAGGAGGTGAGTGACTCTGCTGTTAATGCTGGCTGTGTGGAGCAGTCTGGAAGTAGTTATTTACCTGATAAAGCTGTGAGTGTTTGTGAAGAAAATGATCAGAGTGATGCTGATGATGATACTGCACAGAATCTTGGTTCTGAGGAAAATATGGCTGATGAGACTGAGAGTTTATCACAGTATACTGATGATGGAATGAGAGATGATGAGCAGTGGCCTGATATGTCTAAGGAGGTTGTTGAAAATCTATATCCCCTTGAGCAGATAAATTCTTTTCTTGATAAGACATAAGGAAAAGCAGGTGTTGAAATAAGAGATTACTTCCCGGATGTTGAAAAGTTTATTGCTTCAGTAATGTGGTTTAGGAAAGAAAGTAGCTATGAGGAGCTTTCACAACAGAAAAGATTTCGTCTTAAAAAGTACTTAACTGTTGTTAGATCAGGAAGAAAGATGGGAAAAGCGAGGGGAAAATCTAAATAACTACAATGGCTGTAAATTTCTCCTTTAGTCTGATCTGTTTTTTCTTTTTCTCTTTCTTCCTTATGGAGATCTTAAGGGTGGGTTCTCTTAATGTCAATGGGATGAGGGATGGAAGAAAGAATGAGGTTTTATCAGAAATTATTGGTTTGAAAGATCTGAGCGTGACATTTTTGCAAGAAACTCACAGTACTTGTAGTAATGAAGTTAACTGGGGATTATGGTGGAAAGGAGAGTATGTTCTCAGTCATGGGACTAATTTAAGTGCTGGTGTGGCTGTTCTTTTTTCTCCTACTGTAAATGTGAAAGTATTATCAAAAAACGAAGTAGAGCCAGGAAGGTTTTTAATTGTAAAGGCTGAAATTAGTCATTTTAAATTCTTGTTTGTAAATATTTATGCTCCTAATGTAGGAGAAGAAAGGAGTTTACTTTTCAAGAAGTTTGAAAATATAGTTAAAGAAGAAAATGAAGACGTGTTTATTGTTGTAGGGGGTGACTGGAACTGTACTCTTGATTTCACTCTTGATAGAAACGGGGAAGAACCTCATGCACTGTCAGCTTCCTCTTTAGCTGGAGTAATAAAAAAGCTGAACCTCTTAGATGTATGGAGAGAGCACAATCCTTCTGTAAAACAATATACATGGGTGAAGGTCTGTGATGATAGGATTTCTGCTGCTCGTTTGGACCGGTTTTATGTATCTTGTAACCTGAAAAATAGAGTTGTTAGTACTGAAATTATTCCTAATATACTTTCTGATCACAAACTCATTAGGGTTGGTTTTACCCTGTCTAAAAGTACACATAAGAGCTGCTACTGGCATTTTAATATTAAACTTTTAGAAGATAAAGATTTTTGTGAAGCTTTTAAGTCTTTTTGGGAAGCATGGCAAAGAGAAAAGAGACGTTTTGAAAGTATTATACAGTGGTGGGAAGTTGGTAAAGTGCACATAAGAGATTTCTCTCAGAATTATTCTGCTTTTTCCTCTGTGTGTTTAAGAAATACATTAAAGTGGTTGGAAACCGAGATTGTTAATATTGAAATGAATATGACTGTAAATGATGCTGTTAATTTAAAAGATCGTTGGACTGAAAAGAAAAACCATTTAAGCTTAATTTTGGATGAAAGGGTTAAAGGAGCTCTCATAAGAAGCCGTTATTCAACTCTGAAGGATATGGATGCTCCTACTAATTTTTTTTTTAATCTAGAGCGTAAAGTGGGTGAGCAGAAGTTGATGCTTTCATTGAAGGACAATAATGGACATGTTACATCAGACCCTCAAGAAATGAGAAAGCTTGCTGTTGATTTCTATTCTAAT